TTAGGATTTAGATTTAGGGTTTAGTAATCCCAGATCCTAAAACAAAAACACAAGAAAGTCCAAAGTACCACAGGCAGCACACTGGACAGGCGGCTGCAGACAGCGTCAGCGCCGTGCAGGTTGGGACAAAGTTGCCCTTCAATTTGAAGCGCTACGATCAGGTGAGTATCTATATGGGTAGTTTTCTAAATTAGGCTCCCTTTTGGGGTCCTTTTTATAAGGGTGCCGTACTTAACAACAAGGGACCCTAATTTAGAGAACTACCCATATGGGTTACGAAAAAGCTTACTGTCAGCCTGGTATGGGGGTTACTATAACGGGTACTATCGGGGGCGCTTTTTTTGTGTTACAGCACCATTCTGGTATCGGATCCCAGGATGCAGATGGAGGGCGAGGGTTTGCAATGTACTAAACCTTTTAGGGTTTAGGGTTTCGGGTCTACTGATGCTGATAAGCCCTAAATATGTACGACCTTTTGGGGGTGGTTTTGCTGTAGGCCTTGCAGCAGTTGCAGCCGATGCTAGCAGGCAGCAGGTCTTTCGCCGCTCTTGCTGCCTCGGCAGTTTGTCTGTTTTTTGGGGTTCAGTCCAGGTTCAGTCTAGCCCTGAACCCCTAACCGCTAAACATCCCGAACCACTGAGACCACGCCAGCGCGTCCCCGTAAACCAGCCTCACATAAATTGGATTGCAGTCTTATTGTGGCGTGCACTTCTCAAGTGCGCGTGTCTGGCGCAGATCAATGTAGATCAGTAGATCTTAGACTCGTCTGAGACTTGAGTACCCAAAGTTTCCAAAACCCTTGAAGTAAAAACCCTAAATCCGTCTAAATCCTTATTCGACTGTAAACCCTCAACCATAATTAAGCCCTAGACCAACCTAATTCAACCCTAAAGCCTAAACCTAATTCAACCCTAAACCCTAAAACCCAATTCACTCTTGAACCCTGAAACCTAACTCAACCCTTAACCCTAAAAGCCTAGTTCACCCCTAAACCCAAAATCCACGTTCAACCCTAAACCCTAAAGCCTAGTTCAACCCTAAACCCTAAACCCTAAAACCAACCTAAACCCTAAACCCTAACCCCTAAAATCTCATTCAACCCTAAACCCTAAAACCTAATTCAACCCTAAACCCTAAACCCTAAAACCTAATTCACCCCAAAACCCTAAAACCACATTCAACCCTAAACCCTGAAAACAAATTCAACCCTAAACCCTAAAACCAAATTCAACCCCTCAACCCTAAAACCAAATTCAACCCTAAACCCTCAAACCTAATTCAACCCTATTTGGAGGTTCATGGGTAGTTAGAAATGGGGTTATAAGTCCCTAATCTGGGTTATAAGTGTAGTTACCCAACTTATAACCACTCATAACTACCCCTGAACCTCCTAAACCCTAAATCCCTAATTCAACTCTAAACCGTAGAACCTAAACCCTGAACCCTAAACCCTAAACCCTAAACCCTAAACCCTAAACCCTAAACCCTAAACCCTAAACCCCAACACCGGAGTCAGCCCTGAACCCGCAAAGCCTCCCAGATTTCGGAGGCCGCTGCCGTGCAGGCCAGTGCCGGGCCGCTTTTTGCCGCCGCGCTCTGCGCTCCGGTGCTTGGGCTCGAAGAGGGTTTAGGGTTTAGGGTTTAGAGTTTAGGGTTTAGGGTTTAGGGTTTAGGGTTTAGGGTTGAGGGTCTAGGGTCTAGGGTCTAGGGTTTAGGGTTTAGGGTTTAGGGCGGGTGTAATATAGAGGCCGAAATAATCACCTACCCTACTATAGGAGCGTAAGTAATTACCTATACTATTTTGGGGGTTTCATATCATAAATATAGTGCCCCAAAACCCTATTCTAATTATTAAGGCCCCTACATCAGGTTTGAGGGTTTAGGGTTTTGCGGTGTAGCCTTTTCATATTCAGGCTTTTATACCCTTTTAGTGCTCAGGATCTTAGGCGTTTAGGCTCTTGGGCTTCTAGGCTTGGATTGGCGTTTGGGCCCGAGAGCTTGGGGACTCAAACCCCCGAAACCCCCAAAGCTCTAAGCCCTAAACCAACACCCCTAAACCACAACCCCTGAAACCCTAAACTCTACAGACCCCTAAACCCTAAACTCTAAGCCCAGAACCCTCAACCCCAAAGGCCTAAGCCAACCCGACAGCTTTCCTGCCCACTCCCTCGCCTGGGCCGTGGGGTCGGAGGTGCTGACTGCAGCCTTGCGCAGAGAGGGCAAGGCCAGTATTTATTAAACAAAGTTGAGGATTGAGGCTCTTAGTGTTTAGGGTTTAGGGTTAAGGGTTTAGGGTTTAGGGTTTAGGGTTTAGGGTTTAGGGGTTTAGGGTTTAGGGTTTCGGGTTTTGACGAGAGCTCCTCGCGTAACGAGTTCCCGAATCGAAAAGGGCTTTCAGGATGTGGGTAGTTCTCTAAAATAGGGTCACCTTTAGGATCTATGAGGGTTTCTAAAAGCATACTGTAAGGGTTCAGTTTGGGCAGTTCTCTGAAATAAGTCCCTTTTCGGGTCCTTTTTATCAGGGTTGCCGTATGGGTGGTTGTCAAAATTAGGGTCCCTTTTTGGGTACTATTACGGACCCAAAAAGGGACCATCATATTTTGACAACCACCCTTATTCTATTGGCTAGAACGGGAACCTAATCTAGAGAACCACCCTGGTGATTATCACCTGAAGTGGGCAAGCGTATTAGGCTCAAGAGCTTGTGAAGTCGACAGAGGTTGTGGTAGGTAGCAGTTTGCCATGTGTTTATGGCGAACCTTACTTAAGGCCGAAGACCTATTTTCTGACGTGTGGGACTGGACCCCAAATTCAAGCTCCACGGGAGGCACAGTTCCTCTGAGCATGTGGCGTTGGCTGGAGGTGTCAGCGCAGGCGCACATTGGTGTGTGCAGTTTTGGGATGCTTGTGGGAGCTTTTGCGGAGTGGGCAAGTTGCTGAACTTTTCTCCCTAAGCCCTAAACCCCAAACTTTTTTTTACATGTTCGGGACTCTGAAACTGACAGTTGATGGACCTCCTTCTCGTGCAGCATGCCCCCTGGTACTCAGAGAACGTTGGCAGAAGTTCCGCCACAGAAACGAGTCCTGCCGATTAAGACTGTCTGGTGCTTAGCAGGGAATGGGAGAACTGCTCAGAGGGACTACTTATAAGGAACCTTAAGGGACTATCATGGGGATCCATTCCCCCACTCCCTACTAAGCACCAGACAGAAGAAAGTGTTGCTGATCAGATGCCTGGGTGTATGCTTCAATTAGCCAATCTCAGTCGTCGTGGCCACGAGATGGCTTTCCTGAACTCCACAAAGCTTGAGTCGAGAGCCTTGGACCCAAAAACACAATCAAAAGTTGCATCCCTGCGAGAATTGAAGACGATCCAGTGAAACCAAGTTGAAGTGCTTTCATAGATCAAAACGTCAAGCCTAGTCCATGGTCGATCCAGGAGTGTCCTGCGGGGCAGCCATGGAGTGCATCTGCGAACGCACTGAAGCTCAGCTTCAGCGAACATCCCTCGCGCCCACTCCACTCAGAACTTGTGACAGAAAAGAGTTCTAATGTAGGAGCCTTAATAATTCGAATAGGGTTGTGGGGGTTCCCGACTATAGTAGACCCCCAATCCTTCTCCTAATTATTAAGGTCCCTATATTAGATGATCCTAAACCCCAAGCCCTAAACCCTCAACACTAGACCCTAAATCCTGAACCCTAAACCCTAAATCCTAAAGTCTCTAGTTTGATCCGAACCTCTTCAGCGAACCATGGGTGTTTTGAGAGCTGTGAGGCAGAAGCTGGCAAGTTTCCCGTGCATCTCCGCTGCCAGCCAAGCTAGCATATCGCCGGAACCCTCAACCCTAAAGCAAAAAAGCTTAAGCCCAACATCCTAAACCCTAAATCCTAAATCCTAAACCCTAAACCCCAAAACTCTAAACCCTAAATCCTTAAACTCTAAACCCAGGGAGCTCGAATGAGAAGTCCTGCTTCACAGACCCGAACCTCTACGCCCGTCGACTCAACTCAGATGGCATCGCCAAGTTATCAGAGGCACTGCACCGAGAAACTTGAGAATCCGAGAATCTTTTAGCCGAAAAACCAAAGCCAAGACCCTAGTAGAGGCAGTTCCTTATCATAGTCATAGTATAATATGCTCCAAAACCCTATTCTGATAATTAAGGCCAATACCTATACTAGACCCCGAAGCCTCAAGACGTTCGATCTCCACCGCCCGGCGACCTCACATCCGAAAGCCATGAATATATCACGAATGCCGCGAGCGTTGGGGTTTCGGGCTTAGGGTCTAGGGGTTTAGTGAGGACATGAGCCCTAAACCCTAAACCCTAAACCCTAAACCCTGAACCCTGAACTTTAAACCTTAAACCCTAAACCCTAAACCCTGAACCCCAAACCCTAAACTGCACTTGCTGTAGGAGCTTTGGGTCCTTCACGGAAGAGATTATACCCTAGGCAGCTGTGATTGAATTGAAACATGGGAAAGTCCTAAGCCTAACACTTAAAAGGCTTTAGGCTTTAGGGTTCAGGGTTTAGGGTTTAGGGGTTTAGGGTTTAGGGTTTAGCTAGACCCTCAACCCTAAACCCTAAGCCCCAAACCCTGAAACCCTAAACCCAAAGTTCAGGGCCCTGAAATCAATACCCCAGACCCTAAACTCTAAACCCTAAACCCTAAACCCTAAACCCTAAACCCTAAACCCTAAACCCTACCCCAGACCCTAGACTCCAAACTCCAAGCCCTACGAGCCTTTCTTCAAAGAACCCCCCGACCTGACGACTTTGTCTAAGTGGGGTAGGGTCTGGGTTTAGGGTTTAGGGTTTAGGGTTTAGGGTTTAGGGTTTAGGGTTTAGGGTTTAGGGTTTAGGGTTTAGGCTTAAACCTAATAAGGAATGGAACTTTAAATTGTAATTCTATCCCAACCATGAACTAGACAATGCTGGCGCCAAGAAGAGCCTGGCCCCTACGAGGGCAGTGCCATGGAGGCAGGGACTTTCCGATGCAGCCAGGCATCCTAAACCCCAAAATCCCTAAAATATTCTAGGGTTTTGGGGTTTAGTAAATTGAGGTAAAATACCTTAAGCCCCTGAATCAATATCTCGGTGTTTTTCGACATTTCGGCGCCCATGTCCCATGTGGCATGTCACGCACTTTTTGGGGACCCGTTCTCCAAGCCCTTCGTAACTCTCCAATGATAGCTGATGCCCTCCACGTCCTCGAGCTGTGAATTCATCGGAAGAAAGGGCTTAGGGTTTAGGGCTCAACATCCTCCACCCTAAACCCTCGAATGCTAACCCCGAGCCCTCCACCCCTGACCCTCAACCCTAAACCATTGAGCACTGACCTAAATGGAACCTCTGAATGCTGATTGGGGCCTGAGCATAGGCAACCCCAAAGGAATCTGCAGGTCAAAACACCACAACGGCGAAGGGTTCTTGGACTTTCGGTTTAGGGTGTAGGGCTTAGGGTTTGGGGGTTTGTAGCGGTTGAGGGTGTAGGGCTTGGGATCTATTTGTGTGTTTTTTTTGGTGGGGGGGTCAACTTCGGGTTTCGCACATTTGAAACTTACACAAACGGCTTAGGGTTTAGAGTCTGGCTGCCTTAAGCACCCGTGCCCGATATCTGCAGCTGGCGCCGAGAAATGGCTCTGACTTTCGATGTGTGCGAGAGTCGCAGAGCAGTAGACTGTGAAAGTGAATCGAGCATGACAGACAGCACACTGTATACAAGTTCGACAGAGACAGTGCAGCAACACTTGAGTGACTAGAAGGATAGATGGACTACAACATCAACAGAACACGATGTATTATGAAAATAATGCAGGAGGAACAGTGCAACAGGAGCTGCATGAACGCACCTGGATCTTGCATACACATGTGTGTGTGTGTGCGCGCGTCCGCAAACACACTTCACTACCGACGAAACGATAACGCTGTAAAGTTCGGAATAAATACCAAAACTGTCATCGTGTAGGCATTTTCTTTAACAAGTACACTAAATATACTAATATACACGCAAAACTCACCCTATTCTAACTATTCAGGCTTTATTGTAGCATCGTCGCGCCGTCGATGCGATTCCAGGACACGTAGTGCCGTTTGACACAATGCAGGAACACAGCTATATGTGCTATATGGATGTGCAGTGTCTGACGGAAGTACGAAATCAACATTACTGTCATGAACTCACGACTACCGTCAATCTGCAGCACATAGTTGCCCAGAGCCATCACAGAGTCTTGCTAATATGCATCATGTAGGTAATGCAACATGGTGGTACAGCGCAGAGAGCATTGAACTGACGCACTCGCATCGTCCTGGTGCAGAGTAGCAGTGTAATAACACACGTTTGTTACCAAACTTGCAACTATTTTCGCAATACGACAGCAGATGTTGCTAATATGTGGACACTGTAGCGTGACACGAAACAATACACATAGTACCCTAAACCCTAAACCCTAAATTCTTGGTTGCTAGACGGCCGGTATGGGCTTTCCAGAGATCCGAGGCTCGCGTTTCAGGGGCCGTGGCTTTCGGGGGTTTAGGTGTTATAGGGTTTAGGGTTTAGGGATTATCGGGTTTGGGGTTTACCGTCTAGGGTTTAGGAATTAGGGTTTAGCCTCCCAGTTGTTTTTCGGAACGCCTGATTGTCTGCAGGTGGCCCAGTGAGGTGAGAGCTTGAGAGTGCAGGGGTATGCGTGGAAGACGGGGCGGAGACACCACGCTGATATCATCCAGCACCCCAGCGAAAGCTCAGAGCCCAACAAGTCCCTGGTCGAACCTTCCAGTCTTCGTTCAGTCATCCCCCCCCAAACACCTGAAGTTGAGGGCAGCTCGTCGCTCGTGTTTGTTGAAAAACGACAGCTTGAAAAACTAGAGGTACGTCCTCAATCCTAAAGGCTAAACCCTAAACCCTAAACCTTAAACCCTAAACCCTAAACCCTAAACCCGAAAAATGTATGCCCTCAATCCTAAAGGCTACCCCCCCTACCCCCCCAAGAAGACCAACGATCGCTTTCTCCTGGACCCTTCCCGACGCCGCCGCCATGGCGGGCACCGGCGGCTGCCCGAAGGTGGGGCTCTTCTAGGGGTTTTAAGGGGCGGGGGGGTTTAGGGTTTAGGGTTTAGGGTTTAGGGTTTAGGGTTTAGGGTTTGGGGTTTAGGGTTTGTAGGGGGGGGGGTTTCTGGGCTTCTTTTAGGGTTGTTTTTTGGGATGGGGCCTGGGGGGAAGAGCTTGGTGTTCTGTTCATTTTAATCTGGGTCTTTTGGCACGGTTCATTTCTTTGTTTCTTTCGCTTCACGCTTTCTCTGCTTTCAATTGTAAGCGAAAGGAACAAAAGAGGAACGGGTGTTGTGTTAAATGAAAAAGAGAAAAGCATGTGTCACTCATTCCTTTCGCTCCTTACCTTTTCTTCTTTTCATTTATTACAACACGGGAAATGAGCTAGATGAACGTAGGTGGCGGTTAGTTTCTCAAGTCTTTGTAGGAGCTGTCTCATCACTGGCATGGCGTTTCCGTTCTTCTCTCACCTTTTTCTATTAATTAAAACCAACCATGCGTTCCTTATGTTGCAATTTAATTAATAGAAAGAGGAGAGAGGAACGGAAAGAGGGTCCAGGGGTGAGGAAGACAGCTATCTCTCAGATGAAAGAATGACCAGAGCTTACATGATGAACCACTTCCAAGATTCCAGGAACTACCTCCATTATAACCACAGGTAACCGCCAGTAACTAATATGATGAAGGGAAACAGCGGTCGTACGGTCAAGGAAATCCTGTTCACATAATGGTCTATCTCGTGAGTTAGAAAGTAGAATACAAGGTAGAAAATAGGATGAACGAAGTGAATGAGAGAAATAATGAGCCGACATGGAGGTGCC